ATTTCTTTGCAGGCATCAAATTCAGAATGAGTCTATATTTACAAAGAACAACAAAGTTAATCAATTCAAACATTAAATATCTTGTCTCTGTACTGCATTCAATTAGATATAGGTCTCAAAAGGATTTGCCATCATTACATTCTGTTTTTATTTATTACATTTTACACTGTGTCCAGACTTTTTTTTTAGGGTTGTAGTAGGACAAAAACAACACGTACACACTTATTTTATAGTGAGTGTGGTGGTAGGGCTTTACTGTAAAGCCACCTAAGGGAGTCTGAACAAACATTAGGTTACTACATTATTGTTGAGGTCTACGCAAACACAAAAACGGCCTATACCTTTAAATATTGAATCTGGAACAAGACAAACAAAGGAGGAGCAATTAACTATTCTATTTGTTTTACTTTTACCTGTTTAACTTGTTTGGCAGTTTGTTTTTGTTTTGTGCACAAAGAGAAGGCAGCCACACACACACAGTTTGGGCAAACCGCAAACCAACACCCCAGTTACATCACACCTCCTTCACATAACTCATTTCATGAACTTGTCCTATTAACGTCCATCGGGTATCGCAGTCGATTTAAAATCTTTTCACATGTTCACATCAAGTTCTACAGGAATCTTCTTTCAGTAATTATCAAACATGTATTACAGATGACATGTCCCTGCCTGGCTGTTAAATTAACAAGGTTTAAACGACAAGAACTTTTAATTATGTGATAAAACTGAATTGCAACTAGGGCTGCCACTAACGATTATTTTCATTGTCGACTAATCTGTCGATTATTTCTTTGATTAGTCGACTAATCATTTTATCGAAAAATGTGTTAAAATGTTGAAAAATGTTGGTCTGTCTCACCCAAACCCCAAAATTACGTCATCTAATGTCTTGTTTCCTACTCACGCCAAAGGGTTTTAGTTCACTGTCTTGGGAGAGTGTGTAAAGTTTATAGTACTTTTCTATGAAAAATGACTCAAACCAATTAGTAAACTACTAAAATTATTTTAATAGTCGATTAGTCATCGATTAGTTGACTAATCATGGCAGCCCTAATTGCAACATCATAAGCATATTTGAGTGTTATGAGCCCTGCACTGTTTACATGGGCTTTCTCTCACTTTCATTTCACCGATAATGCTGCAAGCAGGATGCAACCTGAGGCTTTTGAAGCAGCCTGTGAAAGGAGGAAGACAGACTTGCTCACTACATCTCTACTTTCGATTCCTTAGAACAAGGATTACTAACTGCGTCATGTCAAACAGCCTCAGGCACTACAGCAGACTCATGAACAATAATATTTTATTTGTTTGATAGACAGGTATGGTTTATGATGTTATAAAATCATAAAGACTTCACAAAATATGGCAAAAAATAAGAAATACCTGCATGTAAGTGTTACTTTCAGCTATTGAATATTTCCTGGGTTAATAGAGTACTTCTTTTGTTCATAACATGTCAAAAAATGGTGGAAAATGCTCATTTCAATCTGAAATTCAACTAAAAATATACTGCATAACCACCCAGAAAATATTCATATTTGAGAAGAAGTTGTGGCACTTTTGCTTAAAAAGATACTTGATTAATTTGATTGATTAATTGATTAATTGATCATCCAAACAGGTGGCAACTTATTTTTGTATCAATTATTACCACATTTATTTTTCTGTCAGCTCTAAATGGAATATATGTAAACACAGTACAGTATGTTGTGTAATAGCGCGATATCAAGAGAAATACAGAGATATATTGAATTACAATTGATTTCCGGTAATAACTAAAGTGACTGGGTGGTAAACAGAGCTGATCACATAACAGTACTGCAGTGCAGATGATATCAACAATAAACCAGTATAGTTACCTCCTTCTTAGCTCCCTGTTTGAGATGATGGAGGCTCAGCACGGTCTGTGTCCCTGTAGGGTGCTCGGTACCGGGCTGAGCTGCAGGTTTGTGAGCAGATGCAGCAGCGAGAGAGTTGTTGTTGTGGTCAAACAGCCGGATGTTGGGGCTGTTTCTCGGAGGTTTCAGGTGATGCAGCGGCGCCGTCGACCGCAGCTTCCTTCCTCCTTTCTTCAGCAGCGCCTGCCTCGTCTTATTGCCCGTGTTTACCCCATCGCTGCTGGGAATTAACGATATCGGGTTGTTGTTTTCGACGTTGCCGATGTTGGCTTCATCGCTGGGAGTCGGAGATCCGTCCAACATGTCTTTGGACTGGCGAAAACATAAACAGGCTGTGAAATTCCTCCGCGGCTAAGTTGGTTTAGCTAACAACGTCACAAGCTAACGGTTAGCCAACTACGCTTCGGGTAACACACTTTCTTATCGACGAAGAAAGAGTTACTGCACGAATATAACCTTAAATAGTCTCAGAAGTTCCTGAGAGTAAAGTTGTGGGATTTTAATTATTATTTCTGCTGCTAAAAAACGATGGACAACCTTTGTCCCGAGATGGCGTCGGCGTAAGTGCGCTTTGTAAAGCAGAAGTAGCGTTAGCATAAAATTAGCCAAAATGAAACATATGACTTCCGGCGCTCTATTTCAAAATAAGAGGTTTCTTGACGGAGGACAAATGAAACACAGACTGCTGAATATCCACTAGGCTACATTGAATTTCTATTCACCTATACTGTTTTGTTTTAGCATGGGGTCTGTGCAAGGTTATATTAAAAACAGGGAAATAAATAGGCTAATCTACGTGTTTCTGTCTCACAGAGATAAAGGTATTGATATAAAGGTCTTGTTAAGTAGCCTACATTAATTTTGCCATTCAAAATAACCTTTCAGAGATCTCTTGGACGTTTCTACTACTTTCATGTAAAAAAAAAAAAAAAAAAAGTGATACAAATGGACCCCTCAGGAGACATCACTGTAGCTTATTTTCAGGCTTATGTTTGCCCTCAGTTGTGGAGGAGGTTTTCAGACCATAAGAGTAGAACAACCACAATGTAAAAATGCTTTTTCAAAGGAAAAGCCATGTATTCAAATTTGTTCAAAGTAAAGTAGGCCACTCACGGTTTCAGTGCCCTAGGCAAGCTTCCCCTAACCATTTTTTACATAAAATGTCATCACTTCATAATCTTATTCTATCAAACATTTGTAGGAAATTTTGCGATAATTAGCATTTGAATTTTTGTGTTATGGCTGTAAACCTGATCACAGTGACTGTAACCTTTGACCACCAAATTCTAATCAGTTCATTCTTTATACCAAGTGGACGTTTGTGCCAAAGATTAGGAAATGCCCTCAAGATTTTCTTGAGATAATACATTCACAAGAATGAGGCCAGTGGTGTAGTGGAGGGTATACTCAGGTATACGGGGTATACCCACTTCTTTTTCTATCCAGTTACAGTTTACCCACCTATCAGCTAAAAAGCCATTGTAATAGGAGAGTATGACTATTTCCTCATCGGAAACCTACCTATCTACCTAGTAGTATACCCACCTCATCAACTACCACTACACCACTGTAGTGGTGTAATGCAAGGTCACAGTGACCTTGACCTCTAACCACCAAAATGTAATCAGTTTGTCCTTGAGGCCAAGTGGACCTTTGTCCCAAATTTGAAGAAATTCCTTTAAAATGTCCTTGAGATATCACGTTCATGAGAATGGGATGGTCGGACAACTCAAACAAACATAATGCCTCCAAACATGGCTACTGTCAGCATAGATGCATAAAAAAATACAACTGACTTAAGGTAATATTTTTTAGCTTCTTTACTCCTCTATGACAGTAAAATTAATATCTTTAGGTTGTGGACACTACAAGACTATGGGGCTTTGGGAAACACTGATCAACATTTTTTTTTTTGTTTTTGGACATTTTCGGACATTTGTTGTACCAAACAAGTAAACTATTTTTAAGAAAATAATCGACAGATTAACTGACAATGAAAACAATCATTTGGTAGCTGGCACTGTGAGGCAATTTCATCTGTGATTATGTGTCATGTTTTAAAAGCTGATGAAATGATTGTATGTATTTGCAAAGCTGTCAGATAAATTTAGTGGATTAAAGAGCACAATATAAAATGCAGCAGACTCATAAAGTATAAGTCTTCATTATGTTAGCATACTGTCCATCTCTGGTTACAGCAGCATACTGATAGTGGTTGTCACATTTTATACTATTATTTTGTAGACAGATTCCTCCAACTTCCGGATAGTACTCTGTCTAGCTGGACAGCAAAGCGCCACTTCCGGGGATACTGTTTCCAGTAAGGGGCGTTTCAGGCTGCATCCTGTTGGTGACGTTTTATCTTCTAATTGGCTGGCACTTATGAGGCGGAGCACGAGATGAGAGGGAAAAATAGAGAGCTGAAATACTGTACATAGAACTGGAAAACCAGACATAGGTCCCTGCTGTTCACTCTGCACTTTAAATGAAGAAATATAGTAGTAAACATCTTGGTTTTTAAGGCTCTTTTAAGGCTCTCTTATCTGTTTATGAGAGGCACTATACGCTCTGTATGTGAATGCTAGACATGTTTAGATGCTTTAAATCCCCTAGACTTCTCAGGTCACTGGAGGTAATTTTCAATTCATGTGCTCAAAACAATTTTATTAATATTTATTATTGCCTCTATATGCTATGTATGAATACTTTATAAGGAGACATGGTTTCAGCAGCTCTCCTATAATGTCTTTGACAGTTTAGAAATAACCTAATTTATTAATCAAATGTACCAAACATTTGTTGTCTCCAGCTCCTCCATTGTAAGGGTTTGTTGCTTGTGTCTGTTTAAATTATTGTAAATGGAATAATTTGGGATCTTGGATTGGACTTTTGACTATTTTCTAAACTATAAATATCTTAATTTAAAAAAGACAGATGAATCAGTATTGATAAACAATTATTAGTTGCAGCTCAACAGATTTTTGGCTTTATAAAAGCTCCACATAACTGAACTCAGCCTTCCTTTGCTAAAGTATACCTTGTAAATATTGTTGCTTATTTGTAATAAATGAAAAAATATCCACAGACACTGAACACAGCTTTGGTATCACACAGGTTTACTGTAGAAAATGTGATGCACAAATGAAAACCTTTTGATCCCAACAGACCCCAAACTGACCTTCATGACATTCATTGAAATTCACATCTCTGTGCGTACAGCTACATCTACATTCATCCCTCTTTTTAGAACCAGGATGAACCTGTTCAACAAACACTGTCAATAAACAGGTGGACGGGTACGTTTCGTACAGTACGTCTTGTAAGTGCACAAAAGTCTGAAAAACTATTAATCATGAGTGACGCAGGCGCTTTAATCCACTACATAATAATTATTTGGCAAAGAGAACAGAGAAACTTAAAGGCAAATCTGAAACTCACAAGGGAGGACATGTTAAAGGTTTGTATTGGTACAAAAAATAGATATATAAACAATATACAAATACAACAGAAACATCTAAATATCCATCCCTGTGATCGTAGTACATATCATCTGTCACCATGACTGTAGAAGGCAAATCAGAGACATTGAGGGTCCTGGAGGGGGTTGGAGGCGGCGTCAGGGCTCAGGGCTGTGCCTCAGCTTCAGGCTCGTCATAGATGTAGCTGCCGACACCTCCGGTGTTTACACCTGAGAGAGGGCAAGTACATTTAAAGGGTCAGTTCACCAAAATATCATTTCTACATGAAACTAACCAGCCATGCAGATATGTTTAATTCTCTGTATGTCTGCCAGTGTTATAATACATTTAAAAAGTTGTGAGCAGTTTTCATTGACAATAACTTCTACAGCTGAAATAGCACAGGAAAGCCTAATTAACAATATGACTGCTGTTGAGCTGCAGAGGAAGCCTAGTTATATTTAAGGAGGGGCTTTGTGGCTTTGTTTGGGCGGCGTAAGAGCAAGAGACAGATCGTATTAAAATAATAGTGAAGGTCTAGTGTGCAGGTGTTACTGGTGAGGGATGGGTGTGCCCTTCTTTTCTGTTTCCTGTGCTTCTCTTTTGTGTCCCACCATAGGTTCTGCCCTCCCCCCTGCTTGCTGTGACGAGTGGTTGGGTACACTGCTGTCTAATCACTCATCAAGGACATGTAGGTTTAAAAGCCTGGAGAAATTAACAGTCAGAGCTAGGGGGATAATTTGGCATCTTAGGTGCTGTGTGGTAGTTGCAGTTTTACAATACTCTGTACCAGAGTCGGTGATTGTCACTCCCATTTGGGGGGAGGATGTGGAAACCTTTGGTTGAGTCATTAATTTAAAATCATTTAACTGCTAATCGCTAATGTAGAATCACTTTCTTTGACTTTTTGTACACCTTTATTTCTTTGTTTTTTTGTAAATAATCCCTAACTTTTCTTTAAACATCCATTTCTGCTTTTCTTTGTCCTTCCCCACCCCTTGTTTCACTTATTAGCCCTTTTTAGATAGGAATTGTGCAAATTTGCAGGAAAGCCCAATCAGTCTTCTTTCAGCATTGGCAGTATAAAAACAAAATGGGGGAGTGCAGCAAAATGCCACCTACCTATTTTGTTTATACAGAATGTGCCTTTTTTGGGGCAATGGGGGGCGTGAGCAAGTAACAAAACGTGTAGCTCAGCGTGTGACGTAAATAGCGACTGGTCAGTCCTTCGGCAATTCTCTCGTAAGTCGGCCCATTCTTTACCCGTCATCTGATGGTTAATGGCCTCTTCGTTTGCGAGGACAAGGAGGGCGCGCAATTCCTTGTCTCCCCAGTTGTTCATCTTTACAGTGTCTGTCAGGTTTGTGTTTCCCTCTTGCTATTAGCTGCTCGCTAATTCCTGCTATCAGCTGTTTCCTGTTTATCCACCGCCAGTGGCTCGCACATGCGGCATCATCAACAGCTCCTCCCACAAGTCATCAACAGCCCTTCTCGTTGCGGAAGGCCGCCTCGGTCTGTTTAAACTAAAAGGGTTCCGCCAATATGACTACACTACGAGGCGTTAAATTGGGCACCTTGGATCAACTCGCCAATCCAGCTCTGTGTGTCTAAATGCTCGCAGGTTGCTGGCAAAACGGCCCAACACTCGTGGAAAATCTGGCAGTGTAAAAGGGGCTACTGTTACCCCTGAGCCTGACTGGGTAACATAATAGTGGCATCAAGTGGTGAGGTGGCAAATTGCAACCAACTAAAACTTCCCTCATGTGCCAAGCTTGCACTACTGTGGTCCATTCATGGCTACTGTAGAAACAACATGTCAGACACCAGAGAAGACGGACCCACTCTGTATGTAGATATATAAACGGCTCATTCTAAGGCAACAGAAAAACAACAATTCTTATTTTCAAATTCTCACTATAGAGACTGCATCACTTCTTTTCCTCCTAAAAAAAGAGCCACAGTTTTATGGAGTGTAAAGCGACTAATGACCTTGTTAACTTGGAATGGCTATACAGGATTATACAGGTTCAGTTATAGAATCAGGGAGAGCACTAAGGTCACAATAACAGTTTCTTTCTCTCCTCATGTACCTCTTGTGTTTTTAACTGAGCTTCTGACACTTTAAGGCCACAAAAACTTCGGCGTCACCCACCAAGGTTTGAGTCAACAATACGGCTGCTTCTGATGAATATTTGTAGATCTAAAATGAACCTCTGCAGACAGTTGTTAGGGGACACTGTGATTGTTTTCTCTTTAAGCATCAGCCCACCACTCTGCTGCTGCCCAGTGTTTCTGAGTTCATACCTTTGGGCCCAAACAGCACAGCGTAGCACGGTTTGTGGCAGTACGGCTGTCCATCATGCTGCAACAGAAAGAAAAGAATTCTTCCGTATGAGGACCCATTTTTATATGATGAAAAACCATCGGAAACATCAGGAAACATCCAGCAGTGTGAGTGTGAGTTGAGTCCCTCACCTCCGCGTGGCTCCCAGGAGCCAGAGTCTTACTGCATCTCTCACAGCGCAGACAGGGCCGGTGCCAGTTCTTCCCGAGAGAGGACACCTTTTCAGCTGCACACACATGCACACACACATACCACCATGGAGATAGTCACTATGGAAACCAGCCACCTTAGTCACATGGACACATTCCAACACTCATATAGTACATGCAAACACAGATATGGAGACAATCTGCTTACCGAAATAAACCGTCTTGTTGCATCTGGGGCAAATGTTGGGTCCTCCAGAGAAAGATGAGAAGCTTGCAGCTGAAAAAGACACACTGAATTGGAATATTTTTCCCCCCAACACCTGCAATCTCTGTTATCCCCCTGTAGCTATTTTTATCTCGCTGTTTGTCACACATCTTCAAATTTTCACTTTGACTGAAACAGCTTTTATCTTCATCATCCCTTCACTAGTTTCTTTTTCAGTGTGATTTCATGTTATTCACTAAAATCTGACCCCCATATCTCCATATGTTAATCATCTTTGCAACATAAGTGATCTAAACTACACCTCAAACCAGCAGAGAGGATACTGTTTGAGCAGACGTTTAATTTCCCTTCCCAGCATATGACAGTTTTCTATTTTTGCTCCACATATTTCTCACCCTTCACTGGTCCCCGTGCGGGGGCTTTTCTCTCCTCTGGTTTGGCATTTGTTTCCATGGAGACGGCAGCAGGGGCTTCGTTGACAGGAGCGTCGTACACGTAGGAACCAGCTCCTCCGATGTTCACTCCTAAAACGCATGCAAACATTAAATTTATGAACCTGCAAACGACCCAAATGTTCTTTTTTTAGTGTAAACAAGAACAAACTGCACCTTTTGGACCGAAGAGGGCAGCGTAGCAGGGCTTGTGGCAATAAGGCGTCCCATCATGCTGTAAAACACAAGACGAAGGGACAGTAAGCAGAGGCAGCCACTTCCAGTTTCTCACTGCTCTGAACCAAAGTGGAACAGTTTAGTTTAACACATTTTTGTATTCAGTCTGTTTGGATTCACATAACACCAGATAACAAATGAACCAAGACTTGTTCACAGACGTTTATAAGCCTTGTCTGCTCTGTTATTTTCAAAGCAATTCATAATGCATGACTAGAGATCTAAATATGAGCATCAGTCCCTTCCCTTCTGTGGTCTGTTTACCCTCGCTACATTTTTTTTATTCTCTCTAAAAGGCATTTCCCTGGAAAATGACACAGTGAGCTCTTTTTGATAACTATGTGTTGTTTCAAGCAAACAAGGACTAATGTGTCTTTTTCAGGAAAATGTCTTCCATTAGCTTGACTTCCATGTACGACCCCTTTCAGTGATATAATCAACAACAATGCTTGCTTCATCTAAACTACTGACCCTTTGTCTTTCAGACGTTGCCGTCCTTTATGACGATGTTCTGTAATGGCTTTATTCAGATGTCTGGACCGTGAAGGGTCATCCACACAGGAGGCGTTTCAGCCATGTTTTTCAATCCTTTTCTTTTTTTTCACTCATGCTAGATGTGTTCACAGATCTTTTATTCACTGCTGTCACGGACTAAATTAGTTGCTTTAGGCAGTAGAGTGCCTCACTGGCGACTGAAAGCACCGTTGTCAGCTCAGCTGTGAGTCACAGTACTTTACTTCCTCATTAAAAGCTTATTAAAAGACTGTGAAAGCCACAGAAACAATCACAGTCATGAAAAGGCTTCTAAGGTATTAAAGAGAAGCTATGCACATTTTCAAAATTCATATGTGTTATCTTTACAGTCTTAAGCCGACTCTGACTACAGGAGTTTTATATTCTAACCGATTTAAAGAGGCAACAGATAGCATCTTTTCCTAAATATATCATAATGAAAATAATGTGGGTTGCACAGGGTAGTGGCCACAGTAAAATCTGACTATCAGCGTTTACATAGGTTACTTAGTGGCTCTGCAATCTTTGCAATAAGCTTCTGCCAACAGTGCCAGCATTTTGCGGAAAAAAATCTGTTTTACCGCATGAAACGCGTCATGTATTGAGAAACTGGTCGGTCAGCCAATCAGGGACTGGAGCTGGTCCTTATGAGGAGTTAGGCATGACATAGTTGAGTCACAAGCTCAATGGCAGATGGACAAAGTTTGGAGACAAGTGAAAAACGGCCTAGCAAAAGAAAACGAGCTCCTCTGTCTGAGGAGGCAAAGAGGAGAGGGATAAAAGAAGAGAAAAAACAAGAGTAAACCTCAGTCAGGCGTTCAAGAGATGGAGGGAGTTCCGTGACCAAAGAGGCTTTAACACCAATGTCCAGCTAGCTTTCTTTTTAATGGATCAGTAAGTAACACGGCTAAATGTTAGCTAGACGAGAAATGACTGTACTGTACTGTACTGGCTGCTAGTTAATTCCTAGCTGGCCAGCATCGCAAATCGCCGCAACCAGGGACCGGGTAGCGAGTGTTGGTCGGCTGACATCCTCGTTGCCATCCCTCGGACAGTGATACCCCCCTCCCTTCCTTCTGTTCTCTTCTCACGGAGGCAGCTATCGACGGACATCGCCCAGCTAAGTTACGCCCAGCTAAGTGAACACTGCTTTGTTTCCTATTCAGTTTGAGCTCCAACCGGCCGCATCGTTTCCATACGGTAACGTTTATTCTAGAATCTGGACTGTTTACATGTGCATATTGGTATAATTCTACTGTGTCTACTGTTGTTTGTACTGATACCGTACATATTGGTATCATTTACTGTGAGTTGTTTGTACTGGTACTGTGCATTCTGGTATAATTATTTGCATTACTATTTGTTTTTTCTTCAGATAAATCTGATAATTGATGCTCGGTCTCTTTACTCATTTATCCACACACCTTCTCATTCTACATATACATAGAGGTATACCGGTGGCTTTACAGCCTACATTTTATTTAGAGTGTCTAATAGAGTCATATTATTGATTATCTCTGATCCCCACGGTCAATTTGGTTGTTGCAACAGTGCGATGCAACACCACTGACGCTAGGTGGTGCCAAGCTAAAAAAAAACAAATCCTATCTGTTGCCTCTTCAAAATCAGGTTGCATGATATAGGGAGAAACTTCACAGACGTTCTTCTCTCTCAAATCAAACATGCAACTGTCATCAGTAGTAAGCTAGCTAATGTTAGCTTCAAGGGCTAGAATGTTTACCCTTGCTTGGCAACACCATCAGCTGCTCCGTACTGATGTAATCATAACCATCATCACCAGATTTTAAATGCTACATATCAAACATGTTTAAAATTATCAAGGCCCGGACGAGTCTGCAAACAGTCCGGGAGGTTTAAGACTGTTTCTGTTAACCTTAAACAACTGTTCTGAATACACTCGGTGTGAAGAGATCTTCAAAGTCAGTCACTTGTTTGACCTTTGACCACAGAGAATGTAACCTCAATAGGAAGAACATGTGGTTGCTTCGTGGTCAGACATGCACAGTCATTGTGATGACTTTTTTTGCAGAAGTCTCAGGTGGTAAGAAAATGACCATGTAAGTTTGACCACAATGAAACCCTGAACTTCCTGCTGAGGTTTCGTCAGAGGCCAGATAAAGTAATATCTCGTCACATAAAGTGTATTTAAAACAGCTACAGCCTGTAACTGCAAGTAGTTTAACTATTTAGATGATCTTTCCATCACCACTTCATCATCAGTCAAAAAAGTTTATTTTAAAGTAGAATTAAAGCACTTAAAATTGACAATCCTGAGTCACTACACCTTTATGATGACACAAAAATGTGGGAAAACATATTAGCTTCAAACATATTCTATTGTCACGCTTCTTAAATTGCTCTAGAGTAAAGCATCATCTTACAATATACTCATCAATTCTCCAGTTTGGCGCCTCCTCCTGTACACTTCCTCTCACTTCCTCTTACCTCAGCGTGGCCTCCTGGATTCAACGTCTTGTTGCAGCGCTCACATTTCAGACAGAACTTGTGCCAGTCTTTCCCTAAAGATGACACCTTCTCCGCTGTAGAAGAAGAGACAACAATTAGGAGCCTGCGTCATAAAACGAAGGCATTACATGTCCAGATTTATGGCATTTCTGAGATGTTAACCCCTTCATAATGTCTAGGAAGATCAAGATAAGATGAATGGACCAGGTACGCAGCCCTTCTTGCAATCCATCTACACTATGGCATCAAACAAGCTGTATTTAATATCAGATATGAAGGTGGTCAAGTTAAAATGTGACTTTATTAACACATGAATAAACCTTTTTATAGTCAGCCACAGGTCTTACATATTTAGAGGACTTGACATGATGGGGAAAGCTCTAGTATCAGTACGTACAGTCCAACAGCTTGTTTGTTTCTGACACAAAACTGTATTGTAAATTATATCAGAGCAGTTTGTTCCATGATACTGGGGACTGCTGCAGTTAATTAAAGAGATAGAAGACACCTGGGAGACTCGGGTGTTTATATCAGCCTAAAGCACATTCTTTCCACTAGGGACAAGTAGGACAGTAGAGTGACACAGAGAGATTCATCTTTTTATGTCTGGGTCTTATTAATTCAGACTTTTTATAAAGCCACTGGAAGTTTCCCCATCCCTCTGACTCTAATGACACTTCTGCTTTAATGCAAACCTTAACATGATGAAAGCTACATGCCAGATCCTTATCCCATCCTAAAACTATTTCTAGATTAACCTAAAAATCAAGTCTTCAAAATAAGTCAAAAACCAAGTCTTCAGAATAAAATCGGTAGTGTTTCACTGATACAACTCCTTCAAAGGAGCTGTATGCAACACTCAGAGCATATCAGAGTCCTTTTTAAACAGAGGTCGTGCTATAGGGCCGCTACAAAGTCCCTCCTCTGTGCCCCCTTTGCATTTTTACACAGGACCAAACAACAGCGGCCTTATACTTCTCCAGTGTGTGATTTTAGACAGCATGCCGGCATCATGGATGCAAAAGAGGACATGTAACACAGCAGCATCGGCCTCTGGTGTGACATTTATCGTAAGCGCTGGCAGCACTATATCAATAATAACAACGGCATTAACATGGCAATAACAATCATTTATGGTCCCCATTATATGGCGGCTGATCTTGTCCTCTGCTCAGAGTGTAAGGAGCACCCAGACTAATTTTTTTCCCAATTTATGGGCATTTTTGGCTGCTATTCTTCTCCTTTGAGTTAGCCACTAACAACTACTTTTTAAATCTCCTGTGGTGGGTTGGACGTGTAACGCATAACACAACACATAACACGTGCTGCCCATGATCCTGTCCTGCCAGCTCTCCTGCTGTTACTACCTCCAATGCCGCCTTAAAGGAAACATAACTCTGCCCCCCACTCTAAAATTATACCTTTTATACAGAACCACAAAGTGGCGTAACAGCATGAAATTCCCATCTTGATGAGGCAGTGTAAAACGAGGTTACGACTCAGAGTGTGGGGTGGAATTGTCTTTTTACGGTTCTTAACATGGAGGTGGCTGAGCTGGCAGCTAGCAGCTAACAGTGCTAACTCCATAAACAGTGCCAAACAATGGCTACCAAGTGTTAACCAAGGGGAAGCAGAGGGTGGGCCCTATGATTCACAACAACGCCGTCCCAATATCAGAGGTTACAGCTGTATGGGCTCCGTGCAAAGCGGCAGCAATGAGCTAGCCAGTGGGATTCACATGCACATGCATGCGCAGCCAGACCTGATAATCACAACAAACCACAGAGGAGCTGTATTACAACACACACAGAGGGAGCATGATGCCATTACTCCACCATAGCTTTACATAGCAAATGGTTTGCTGCTATAATACTACTTTTTAATTCCACTCCACTACAATTCAGAGGCAAATATTGCCCTTTTTACTCCACGTCAATAATTTGATAGCTTTATCTTTACTTTCAAGTTTCAGTTTATAAGCCAAAATATTAAAAAAAAAATATATACATATATATATATATATATATATATATATATACACACATATATATATTATTATTATATGTTAAAATATGGCTTTACAAGCTGCAGATTATAAAGTTAGACTGTATCAAAATTAGATCCACCTTTACCAGCCGCAGCATTGAAGTGATGAACACATTAATGCATCAATAGTTATAATATATGATATGGTCAAATATGCCTATAGTATATCTGCCATGGGACATTTCTGCACGGTGGTCCAGTGGTTAGCATTGTCGCCTCACAGCAAGAGGGTTCCTGGTTCGATACCATGGTGGCTGATCCCTTCTGTGCGGAGTTTGCATGTTCTCCCTGTGTCAGCGTGGGTTATCTCCGGGTACTCCGGCTTCCTCCCACAGTCCAAAGACATGCAGGTTAATTGGTGACTCTAAATTGGCTGTAGGTGTGAATGTGAGTGTGAATGGTTGTCTGTCTCTATGTGTCAGCCCTGTGATAGTCTGGTGACCTGTCCAGGGTGTACCCAGCCTCTCACCCAAAATCAGCTGGGATAGGCTCCAGCCCTCACTTCTACCCCTAACAGGTTAAGTGGTTACTGAAAATGAATGAATGAATATGGCCTAATATGTATCTGAAATGTGACATTTCTGCAAGATGAGTACTTCCATTTGGTACCTCAAGTAAAGTTTGATGCTGATAGTTTTGTACTTACACGACGGACAGAAGGACGGACAGAGGGAGGGTCACTAACAGTCCCAGAATATCTCAGCAGATACACTGCGGCCCTGATACAACATGACACTTCCTGTTTAGACTCGCTGGCCAGCCTGTCACTGTGATATGTGACAGTAAGTCACCTTGGCACAAAGCAAGTACTTTGCATTGATGGCGGGGGACATGTGTGCCAAACAAGTGTACAGTAGTGTGCCCTTATCATTTATACTCACAGTCGTGTGTGTTACTCCTTCTTGTCTTGTCTTGTCTTAGTTTTATTTATTTATTTCCTTTTAGGTTTGTGTGTTTGTTTTTTTGTTTTTTCCCCCTTTTTTCCTTCCATACAAATTCCTTGTTTCAATGACATGCTGACGATACATTTGTGTGGAAAAAGACTTGATGGATACTGACAACTCTGAAGCTTAAAATCTCAAAATAGACCAAATGACCGAGCTAAAATGTATAAAATGCATCTCCACCTCAATAAATTCCCCACGCAGCCACAAAACAACAACTACACTGCCAGAGGAAACACATTTCTTTGACATTTACTGCAGAGCTTCAAGCGGGAACAAGAGAGAACAGCAGTTTGGTTGAACCTGCAGGGTGCGGTTTCGCTGCCATTCTCCAGAGAAAGGAAGATGAAAGAACAAAAAGAAAATCAATCCATGTCACCCATGAGCAATCAATAAATTATTTACAATGCCATGTGGTGTTGCTCCAAAATGAAAAGAAGCTGACAGACAAGAAAGATGATATCACCCCTTTTTCTCATGTAAAACTCGAAAATGATCTCGCAAACAGTCTGGGAAAAGCCAGGTCATTTAAAGGTGGACTTCAGAGTAAAGATGGTGATTTGTCATAGGCTGGCAGATAACATAGTTTAGGCTGATGACCACATGCACACAGGAAAGGACTGTTAATGGCTCCCTGTAATCTTATCCAAAGATAATGAACCACTTACAGCCCAGTCTGGGCTGCGTCAAAGCACAGTGGTTACCAGTTTGAATCTGGGACTCACAATCTGTGACGTTTTTAAACATTTTTGAGAGAAACTGTCACATTCATTTCACATCCAAACCGCTAAAAAAGGAGAAACTGAGGCAAACTGAGGCAGCGCAGACCAGACGTCAGATAATTACAGTAGGAGGGTTATTAGATCAGGATGTTAGCTGCTCTGGCAGGACTTCACTGTGACATTCAGGTTCCTGCATGTCTGTAATGTTTTGCTGCAGAACTAAAATACTCCTGTTGGGTCTTGAGGCTTTGTGTCTTGGGTTTTTATCTTTTCACTTTTGCCATTTCACTTTATTTTATCCCCTGGTGTTATATGATCACTGTGTTTTTATTCTGCTTTTTGTTTTTATCTTCTGTTTTTCTGTAAAGCACTTTGCGACCTTGTTAAGACAGTGCTATATAAATAAAGTTTATGACTATTATCCTTATTTTCTATTGCAGCGTAGAGGTGTGCCTGTATTGTACTTCATACCAGGCCACAGTATACTGGCTTACTGTGCTAAATTACCTAGTCTTTCTGCTAGAGAAGCCAGTTTGCATTAAGGCAAACATGGTGTGGGGTAATTGTACTGTGTTGCAGCTCTGATAGTAGGGTTTCATGAGGGTTTGATGAATGTTTTGATATAACAGTTTACTGTGATATATTTGGCCACGTAAATCTGATGCTGGCACATCCCTGTTGTACTGGTGTCTTCGCTATAAGACTGATTATAATAAAATCCTCATATTTACATTTTTATAGTCCACAGTCTCAGCTCTAAATGAAGCATAATAGAGTTGAGTGATGTGACAGTATATACCATCCAATAATATGTTTTCATTAACTTTGTCATACCGCTTATATCATGGTAGCTGTACTTTCATATCTTTAGTTTGCGAATAATGTTGCAAATGAATAAGTAAGACTGCTTTATGGCAATACTGAATTTATTTCATAGGACTTATTTTATTGTTATTTACTATATCGTGACACACACTAGCAATACTAACACCCAAAATGACCGTTTGTGTAGCACTTACTCATCCCATGTTATGTTGAAGTCTAAAGAAAACTATTTTTCCTCCACAGTGAATGAAGAATCCAAAAATAGAAAAAGCAAAACTATGTCAAAACATCGGTTTACATACTGTCACACAACTTCCAAGGCTCATTTATCCAGTTGTCTGCTCAGTACTTCCCAAACATGTGCATTTTCACTGACACGTTACTATTTAAAACACTTCCGCATACAAGCAGAGCGAATGGCAAAGTGCATTCCATTGAGTTGCTTGGTGCGCTACTCGTCCGTGCATGAGACTGGTAATGCTGAAGTGTTAAATACTATGGTTTTAGCGCAATGCTTGTGTTTTGGAGGTACTGAGCACACAACTGGATAAATGAGACTTGTTTTATACTGGATAAGTTGTTTGAGAGTTTGTAAATGGGTGTTTTGACATAGTTTTGCTGTTGTTGAACACGGACCCCCTTCACTCCAATTATCAAGAATGTTCTGTTTTTTGGATTCTTCGTTCACCATGGAGGAATGGAGGAAAAAAGTTTTCTTCACGAACGTATCACAGGGTGAGTGACTGATTTACAAATGATCCTTTTGTGGGTGAAGTGCTCCTTTAACAAAACTATACACACTAGAATATGGGTTTTATCCTTACTTAATATTAATTTATATTTCATCTAAATGTTTTGCAATGGGAAATCTGAATACTATTTTATGTGAAACAAACAACAGAAATCAATAGGACACAATGGGATACATTTTCACCATGTGATTCTGAATACTTCAGTATGACGTGTTATCACCATACTAATATTCATAACCATATTGCCAAGCCCCATCTGAAATAAAAACCATGCACATTTTCTTTTAAAAAGATGCAGTGACTTATAAGATAGATATATTTTCTGCAGTATTCCTGGATGCTTCTTGATTATTTTCTTTTTAAATGGGCTTATATTATATTCATGAAAAAATATAATAAGAAAACGATTTTACAGAATGAAACCCCTTTTTTGTCAATGAGTACACGTCACCTCAGATCTTCTATGAGCTCTGAAGCTGCATGGCAAATAATAAATACATTCTCACTGTAAACAAACATCATGCATCAACAAATATTAAGAATAAGATAATAAGACTTAAAGAATATATTTTCAAAATAAACCCCACAGATGGTTAACACTCCTACTAGCAGTCAAAGCCCTCGACTCTGACAATAACCTCGACGCTGGGCGCTTACACAGAAAACATCCACCTACCGAAATACACCGTCTTGTCGCATTTTGGACATTTTGACGCCATGTTCCGTGTGAACAAAGGGATGGAGTAGTTTTCAGTTGGTGCACCGGCGCTCTGACCGTCTGCCTGTGTGCCTGCCGTCTGTCTGCAGCTCCAGCGGCAGGAGACACACCTCAGGATGATGGGGATGGTGATGATGATGATGTGAAAGATTGACGCTCACATCCTCCCATAGATTCCTCTGTCTCATTTACATAATCCCGCCCCTAGGATGACATCATGCAGTCATCATGTACTGCAGACAGGCTAGTAGAGGAAATATAAAATTGTACATTTATGTAAAAAAAAAAAAATGTATTTTTTCATCAATATTTAGTTGTTGTTGGTTTTTTTAATCTTTTTAAATCTTTATTGTGGTGAAAGGTGGTTTATATTGGTAATATTTCTCATCTCCTATCAGAGATATTGAGATAGAGATTGGTAGATTTTTCATGCAAAATGCTGTCATAATTTTTTAATAAATAATAAATAATAAAATGCACAGCAAAAAGTAGCTCAAGAATTCAACCAGTTAAAATTCTGCCTTCATCTTTATGCAACATACGATGATCTCATAATACAAAATAAATAAATAGTAATATTACATAATAAATGCTTTGCTTTTACAGGCCTACTTTTAACATTTTGATTAATTTTCCTTATTAATGTTAGTCCAATATTCACTCTTCCTTTAGCTCTGTTTGGTCCACTCCTGCGTCTAACTGTATCTGTTTGCTGCAGGATGTTGTGCAGGCGTTGTTCGGTTGGGTTTATAATTTATTTACACCTAGAACAGCTGTGTGCTGCGGCTGGAGACACCACCGAAAAAGCTGTGGGCACCAAAACCAAAACACATGGACATGGACTGAAAGATGCTAAAACGGCACAGTCAGAGCTGAGGGGAACAGCGAAGTATGATAATTCTCTGTGAGTTTATGACATAGACTGTATAATAAAGATGGACAACATGACAACTTCCCAAAAGTGAAACTATCATTTAAGGTCATTCTTATCTCGCTGATGTTTGTTTTTCTGGTAAGTTTGTTTTAAATTAGTTATTTAATACTAAAAAAAGGGGGGTTGACATCACGATTGACAGCTGTGTGTGCCAATCAGTGTCCATCCATCCATCCATCCATCCATCCATCCATCTTCTCCACTTGTCTTGGCCGGGTCACGGCAACAGGCCAGTCAAAGCACCACAGGCGTTCCTCTCCCCAGCGACACTTTCCAGCACCTCCTGGGGGAACCCGGTGTGTTCCCAGGCCAGACGAAATATGTAATCCCTCCTGCATGTTCTGGGTCTGCCCCAGGGCCTCCTACCAGTTGGACATGCCCAGAACACCTCTAATGGGAGGAACCCACGAAACATCTTGATCATAATCATAATATTCTGCAAATGCTGGTTCCAAGGGTGAGAACAGAACTTGGCAAAAATGCTTTTAAATATGCTGCTCCTTCATCCTGGAGTAATTTACAGAAGGATCTGAGACTGGCAGAGCCGATCACTGTGGGGGAGTTTAAGTCAATTTTAAAGGGTCTGGAAATTAGCTCTGTTAGTCAATGTGACTGTTCCTAATTCATTTTAGAAACTGTACTCACGTCATATTTGCTCTTGTCCTAAACCTTTTATTCCATGTTAATTGCATACTGTGGTTTTTATTTATTTGTTGTGTGTGACAGTTGTAAATGTCTCTTTGCCTTGTTGTAACTTGTAAGAACGTTTTATGCTGCCCTCTTGGTCAGGTCACTCTGAAAAAGAGATTTTTAATCTCAGTGAGGCTTTGACCTGGTTAAATAAAGTATACATATAATTCTGAGCCCAGTCATCCCACAGAGGCAACTAATTTTGGCTGCTTGTATCCACAATCTCATTCTTTCGGTCACTACGCGGAGCTCATGACCATAGGTGAGGGTTGGAACATAGATGGACCAGTAAATCGAAAGCTTCACCTTTCGGCTCAACTCCCTCTTCACCACGACAGTCCATGGTGGTGCATCACTGCAGACACAGCACCAATTCACCAATCTATCCCATGCTCCATTCTACCCTCGCTCGTGAACAAGACGCCGAGATACTTAACTCCCTTGCTTGAAATTCCTCAGAGAGTCACCACCTTTACATGGTGGAGGGACTTGTGTTTCCCCGTGATCCTGTGTTGTCCGGGGCTAATAGCCCCTGGTCTCCCAAGGCAAAGTGGTCCCAGGGGAGGGACCAGACTAAGAGCAAACAAGACCTTGATGATTCGGCAAAATTTGGACATTGAGAACCTCGCACAGTATGGGGACACCAGGGCCCCCCCAGAGCCAGACCTGGGGGCTAGCTTGCAGTTGAGCTTCTGGTGGCCGGGCATTGGGGCATGGGGCCCAGTTGGGCTCAGCTCAAGTAAGTCACATGGAGCCACCACCCTGTGGGTTGGGTGCATTGTGTGCTTGGCAGCAGGAACGGGCAGGGCCCTGAGCGTATCGATCCCTGGCATCGCAGACTGGCTCTGTGGCCAGTCGGTGTGCTTGTGATCAATGGTGGTCCTCGCGGTGTGGCAGGTGTTTGGGCAGGAACTCAACATGGCGGAGATCACTACTGCAAGGAGTCTGGCTCTTAATGATGTCACCAGTGCAAGATGGCAGCGGATGTATCTGGGATATTTTGGCTTCATTGTTGTGCAGTGGGAGGAAGTGGAGACGCATAATTCATCTCTATATACAGTTTGTGGGTCATCGCGACGAATGGAACAAACTTTCCTACATTGTCATTTGATCAGTGTTTATTATAAAAATATTGATTATAGCCACTTTAACTCAGAATTATGTTGTCCTGTTGATGGCAGAATGTCATGTTGCGCTGTCTTATTATGGACACCTATTGTCCCAAAAGAAGAATTGCTAATGGTCTTAGTGCCACTCTGACTTTCAGTTTCACTAACTGGTGTTCCCAAAATGTAAAATAAAAAATCTAAATCTGGCAGCCAGATTGGAGTAAACTCTATAACACAAAAAAACAACAACATATTTTTGTTAGTTAAGAAGGGACCTCCTGATGTCCTCAAATGGACTTCCTGGAGCACAGAGGTCCCACATCAGTGAAGATGTCTCATTTGTGACCTATATTTAAATGTATTATCCTCTGCAGACATGGGTCGTTACAAGTGCCTCTATTTTGGAAATGTGAATAATAGTAAATCCTAGCAATGCTGACTCCCCTGCATTCATCAGTGTCACCCGTCAGCTCTGTTTGTGTCCTGTGTGTGGTTGTTAGGTTACACTGCCGGACAGCACAGCTCTTCACAGGGAATGTTAAGTGAAGGTCTGCAGCTCCCAGGAGACCTGCTCTGTATGTTCTTGGCACAGACCTAAAAGACAAGCTGACATAAGGTGGCCTTTTTTTGTGGAATTTAGAGTAAAATATACATTTAAAATGTAAACATAGATTTTTTTTAAGACCATAAATTGGTGGCTTAAGATGTTCGCCTGTGTGTGAAGATGCATATGATCATTTTTCCTCTCCCTTTTCTAAATATTTGATTTAACCAGTGAAAGATCCCCAAATGCTGCAATGAGACAAAACAGATTCAATGCAAAACATGAAACAGATGAAGAATTCAAACAGTGGATCTCCCAAACCCACAGCCACACTGCTACATTACTGCCCAAACATACTATAACTAACCCTTAAAGAAATGGTGTAACTATTTTAGGAAATACCAGTTACACATAACCCCCTTCTTGGTTTTTGAACAAATTAAACACACCAGATACCATTTAATTAATGAATGCTAGATGCTGATTTAGGTACTGATGGGTTTACTGTTTCCCTTTGTGTTCAGTCTTTGTGCTAAGCTAACCGGCTGCTAGCTGCATAGGTGGATTGCAGTATTAGACAGTGGGCCAGATATGCCAAAGGCTCCACTGGCTTTCCTTATACAGGAGCGAGACACATGGATTTTGTGTGTGGTCATTTTGTGTCTCTTTGTTTCTCTTTGCAGTCGATTTGTGTCTTTTTGTTGTGGTTTTGTGTCTCTTTGTATGTGATTTGTGTATTTCTGTTGTGGTTTTGTGTCTCTTTGTAATCATTTTGTGTCTCTTCATTACTGTTTTGTGTCTGTAGTCACTTTGTGTCTCTTTATTATTGTTTTAATGTCTCTTTCTAGTCATTTTGTGTCTCTTTGTAGTTGTTTTGCACCTTAAAGTAGGTTTTAGTGTCTGTTTGCAGTTCCTGAACATTGTGTTTTTTGTGTCCCTGTCATTTTGATCCTCTTCCTGGTTGCTACGTATTAATTTGAGTCACATTTAGCAGGTTCAGGGCTAACATATTGGGCCTTTGGCCCCAGTAAGCTCCTTCGGCAATCCATCCATCGCTGGCTGTAGCTTCATACTTAGCCTACGGACTTAAGAGTTGCGTAAATGGCTGTGTTTAATATTTTAACATGCTCTTTAGTGCGCTAAAACAGTATGCTACACTTTTTGTATGTCCAAAACCGTAGTATGAAACGACTAGTACATGAATGGCATACTTTTTCCAGTGAATTATTACAGTATGTAAATACGGCACTCGACAGTGGCATACATATCCCACAGTGCAACACGGTAGATGACAACGTTCACAACAGAGTTTCCATTTGGCTGGGCGTAATTTATGTTTAAAATATTTTTTAAATTACCAGTAGAGCTGAGGTTGGCATGGGTTACCATAGTTACACGTCTACAACTGGTAGGGAGGCTCTCAGGAAGTGGCAGTAATAACAGCCTAGTGCGTCTGAGAAGATACATACTACTTTCATGTGATACTCAACAAATGTGTGGTTTCTTAAGGCCCCTAAAATTTCAGTTTGAAATGTGCTTTAGGGTCACCTACAATATAAATACTTAAAAAATAATTAGCAGTTAATTACATGATCACATACTAATTGCCACTGGTTGGATCAAACAACCAACTGGTTGTCTTTGGTCCTGGACCCCAGGTTAGTTGCTGTACTGGTTACCAGAGAAATTCATGAACAGGACCCTGAGGTGGATATAAGGAGACATTGGGCAGTGGCTTTGTGCCAGACTTTCTTTTCTATTAAGTCTCCTAGGCCAACAAGTGCATGCTGTATTTTTATATGAGATAAACACACATAAACAGATTGAGCAAAGATGGAAACAGTGGCAATTCTTTTTCCACAGTTAG